GAGCCCAGCTCGGGGCTCGAACCCCCGAACCGTGAGATCCTGACCTGAGCCGAAGTCGGTGGCTCAACCGACTGAGCCACCCAGGCGGCCATAACAGACTTTACTTTTTACAACATTTTTATGTGTATATAAAAATTGTACAGAACATGTAGAGTTTTATTTCCACTCTCCGTCTCCTCCAGTTTCCCCTATTATTGATTCCTTGCAGGAGGACAATACATTTATTATAACTAAGGAACCAATGTTAGTACATTCTATTAATTAAACTCTGTAACTTACATTAGGGTTCACTCCTGACGTTGTGTGTTCTGGGGGGGGTTGGACAAATATACAAGAACATGGACCCACCATTGTAGTATCATACAGAATAGTTTCACTGCCCTAAAAGTCCTCCTTCCCTGCCGTTCATTCCCCCCTCTCCCCTAAACCCTGGCAACCACAGATCTTTCTACTGTCCCCATAGTTTTGCCTTTTCCGGAATGTCCTATAGTTGGGATCTTCCAGTAGACAGCGTTTCCAGATTGGCTTCTTTCACCTAGCAACCTGCATTTAAGGTTGCTCGCTGTCCTTTCATGGCTTGAGAGCTCATTTCTTTCTAGTGCCGAATAATGTTCGTTTTTATTCCTGCAAACGTTTTCCCGGTCGGAAAGGCCCCCACCATCTTTGGCTCCTGGAGCCTTGCCCTTGGCAGGGCCTAGGTGGGGGCCTCGCTGTGCCTGCTGGGGCTTTGACAGCTGGCTCTGTCCCTCTCCCTTACCTGTCAGGACTGGGCTCTAGGCGTTTCTGTGGGGAAGATGCCCTGTGAAGCTTTGTGGGAGGAGGGAGGGGGGAAAGAAGGAAGGGGTGAGGCCTGGAGGGAAAAGGTGCTGGGTGGAGGCAGAGAGAGAAGGAGGCAGCTGCCTTGGGGGTGCCGGGGTGACCTCAGGCATTTTGGTCAGGCAGATGTTGGTCACCGCTCAGCTGGAGGCCTGGGGACAGGCAGGAGGCCGACCTTATCCTTCCCAGCTGTCCTTTGTTCTGAAGATGTGTGGAGCTGAGGGACCGGAAGGCCAGAGTCCCCACTCTTCCCAGTGGGTAACTGGGAGTCCTCCAGTCACAGGGCAGTGAGAAGGGGTCAGAGAGAGAAACTCTGGTTCCCCGGCCTGGGGGGTGCGGGGCTCCGGGCAGCCAAAGGGCAAATAACAGGCTCAGGCCTGGTAAAGTGTAACCAAGTGAAGAAAGGTTAACAGAGGCCCCAACATCCACGGTATCTGGCAGGACCCCCCGCCCCCGGCCAATCAGTTACCCGACGGCAGATCCAGGGACCGGGCCCACCCCCAGGACTCGTGCTGGCATTTGCTGCTGCTGGCCTGTGGCAGGTGCGGGGGCCTGAGGCCCCCCCCCACCCTGAGTTTTCTGGGCCATGTGAGTTGTCCGGGCCAGTGGCTTCTAGTGCAGTTCCAGACGTGTCTCCTTACCCCATGGCTGTGAGTTGAGCCCTTCTTGTGAGCCCTCCAGGTGCCTTGCGAACAGTGGAAACCAACTTCAGGCTCCCCCTCCTTGGTTGAAAGCCTCCTTAACCTCGGGGTGTGTTGAGGGGGTCTTGCAATGTCTCCCCCTTCCCCTTCTTCCGTTTCCCGCCTCCTACTGTTCCCAGGACTTTGTGAGCTTAGGTCCTTCCTCCCTGTGGGGGGTCCTGGGCAGGCCTGAGCCCCCCTCCCCACTGTGTGCAGGAGACTTTAATCTGCTCCACCCTTGCAGGGTGGGGGGGTGGTCGGGGGGAATGGGCTAGACAGGGGAGAGGAGACAGGAAGAGCAGAGACGGGAGGGGGGAGGGGAGCGAGTGTGCCTTTGGAGAGTCGCAGAGGCGACAGGTGGTGTGCCATTCTTCCCATCGGGGAGCAGAAGCCGTTAGGTCTGGGCAAGCCCTGTGATTAGCTCTGGCCAACGGGCAGAAGTGACCTGTGTAACTTCCCAGGCTGTGTCTTGACATGAGCGTACTTTCCTCCATGCACTCCTGGAATGTTCTCTCCTCAAGCCAACCCCGTGTGGTGAGAAGCCCAAGCTGCCCAGAGAGGCCCTGTGAAGGAAGGTACAAGTAGGCAGTATGCCAGCCTCAGCAGAGCGGGCTACCGACAGCAGGCACCCCCTTCTGGAACTGTCCAGGCTGGGCCGGGCCGGCCCTACCAACTTGTAACCAAAAGAGCCAGCTGATCCCAGCAGCCTAGTAGACTCGTGATACAAGTGGTGGCTGACTTAGGACGGTAAGTGTGGGGCTCATTTACTATGCAGGACATGCGGGTGATTTATCTGTACAGCATCCCGTCTTTGGGGGGAACCCCCTGCCCCATCCAGGGGGCACAGCTCACCCCTTCCCGCCCACTCCTCTTCCCTTCCCAGCGCTGGCTGGCTCCTGCTCCTGTTTCCCAGAAATTGGCCCCTGGGACTGAAGGTGTTGGAGTTGAGTCATCTCAGGGGCTTGTCTTAAAAGCCCTGGGTCCAAAGTTGCCCTGATTCTCTTGTTTTCACGGCTGGCTGCTCAGCTTTCTTCAGCCAATCATCACCGGCCAATCATTATTCCCTGCGCATTCCCTCCCTCCCCCTCCCCACCTCCTGGCTCTTCGGGCATTATCTCAAGTTAGCTCCTCCTGTTTCCACCAAAGAACTGTGACCCCGAAACTGAAATCGGTGCGAGGGAGGACATTGTAGGTCACCACGCCCCTGGGAGGAAGGTCACCAGGGAAGTAACAGGCTCCGCGAGGTCACCGGGGATTCACGGTCCTGATACCGGGAACTGAACTGCTGATCGATGTGGTGTCTGCTTATCTGAGGCCGCAGGGGATGCGGGACAGGAGGGTGGCACACTGGTCCCCGTGGTGCTGGACAACTTGGCAGGGGGGCGCCGACACCCCTGAGCTCTCACCTCCCTGGGGGACGGCACTCCACATTGGCTGTCACAGCTGGAGTCCCAGAAAACCAGACTGGGAGGCTGAGTCTGCAGGTGGCTGAACAGACACGCAGCAGAATTTATAGTCACTTGGAAGTGGGAGGTGGTGGTGGGGGGGGGGTTAGTAGTGGGGTGTAGGGTGTTCCTTGAAAAAGTCTGGAAGCACAGTCACGTGGGAGCATTTAGAGGACTCTTCCTGGAGGAAGCAGTTCCCACCGTGCCCCTGGGCCTGAGGCAGCGACCCTGCAATGCCACCGGGGCCCTAATGCCTTGTTCCTAACCACCCCCCCCCCACCCCGGTCTGGACACCCACCCAGGGCCTGAAAGGAGTGTGAGAACGAATAGCTTTATCCAGAAGGAAATGTAGGAATTATTAGCTTATGCAAAAATGCTGGGGAATATTGTGGGAAATGCTTTGGGGACGCCCAACCAAGGAGCTGCCTTCTGGAGAACGAGCTGGCCCTGACCTGCTGCGGCTTAGTGCCCCACTGGTCTGCACGGGTAAAGCCTGACCGGAAGCAGTCGGAAGGTGCTGGACGCAGGCCATTTGCACCAAATACCTTCCATCCTGGTGGGGGCGGGTTTGCCTTCATTAAACCAGACTTTGGATTTAGATTTGCTTGCCTGCCCCACACCCGCGGGGTTCACGGAGGGCACCCCCACCCCCACCGCTGGGGACTCCCACAAAACATGGATTCTGACCACAGAAGTCACTTCGCGGCTGCAGGAGTAAGGCAGTGGACTTAGGCTGGTGGGGTCACTGCTCCCGCCACATGGCTCCCTGTCTGGGGACAGCGGGTGTCAGAAGAGACTCCTGAGGCCCAGGGGCCCTGAAGGAAGGTTTTTGGCCGCCCTCTCAGAAGCGGAAGCCAAACCAGCCAAGAAGGGGCCAAAGGTGAGGAGAACTGGAAAAGGCACTGGAGGATCAACATCATAAATACTGGTGATGAGCTTATTACTAGGGCGTTGTGGCTTTTACCCGTTGCCCTGCCTTTTTTGGGTCGTATCCTAATAATTACAATGGTAATAAAACGTCTTCTCTTTCCCCTTTGTCCTAACTTTACTGTTTAGTGTGCAGGTTGTAGAAATTTGCGCTAGGAGCTCGACAGAATGAGGGAAGGAATATCCATCACGCAGCAGGTGCACAAGCCAGGGGAGCATTTGGGATTCTGCGCGAAGACCAGGTCTGTGAGTGCATGTGGGGAGCAGCGAGTGCACAGGGTGTGTGAGATGTGGGTTGGAATGCACTTCTTTGGTTTGTTTTCATCCTCACTCCTCTCCTTTGGCGGGGGGCGGGGGGGGGGGGGGGGGGGGTCTGCTTCTCCCTCCCTCCCTCCCTCTGTGCAGCTCGCACATCCCGAAGCCTGATCCAGGACTGGGCCAAGTACGGTGGTAGTTATGAGCCTCCCATGGTCTGGTCTGCCCTGCCTGTCCTTGGTAGGTCGTAGGCCACCCCTGCGTGGAAGAGAAAGAAGGTGAACTGGTCGGGCCAGAGAGGAACCTGGAAAAAAATGGAGGGCGAGAGGGGTGAGCGGTTTGCCCAAGTGGGGTCACCCTGGGTCTCGGGGATGCTGCCCAAAGGGATGGTGGGCAGAGGCAGGGCTGGGGGTCCCTCCCCAGGTATCCTAGCTCCTGGCTCCAGGCCACTGCCCCCTCCCACCATATGACTCCCGGGGCAGAGCTCTGGACGCTGCCCACCTGGACGGAATCCAGGTTCTGCTCCCTGCCTTTCCGAGTCTCCACTGTTTCATCTGTGAAATGGGAGTCATCACGGGCACCATCATGCCGAGGGGTAGCATGCCCAGTGCCTCAGCGCAGCCCATCCGGGCCCCGTGTGCCCCCACACTGTCCCAAACCTCCTCCTCCCGGGGCTTTGCAGCTGACCGCCCTGGGACCGCCCTGGGACTGCGGACACAAGGCCCCCACAGGCAGCAGCCTGGGTGACTCCCAGGTGCCCAGGACTCTATCCTGTCCCCCTCTGGTGGCAGAACCCAGGGACGCTGGGCTTGTGTGATAGGCTGCCGCAGCGGCCCCTCCTCCTGCCCCTTACTCATTAGCCAGGCTGCAAAGTAGCATGGGCTTGGCTGGGCAAGGCTGGCTGCAGGAGCGCTCAGGCATGCAGGGTGGCCGGCAGCCCAGTCTTGAACTGGACAGCGTTCGGGACACGGTCACCCCAGACCGAGGGGGCTGTTGCCCTGCCCTCCGCAGGCTGGTCCCTGTCGGCTTTGGGGCCGAGGTGTGGACGCTCTTTGCCCTTTCCGGACCCCTGGTAAGTAGACGATGTGAGGGGCAGGCAGTAAGGCTGGCGGCAGCTGCCGTCCAGGTGTGACAGGGCTACGCCAGGAGCCGCTCACACCTGTCCCCAGGAACTGCCCACATTGACCATGTCCAGACTGCACCCGAGGTCACCGCCCACAGCAGGTGACTACAGGACAGCCGTCCCTGGACAGGTGCATGGTGTGGCAGTGGGGCCTGACCTCGCTCAGCAGCCCCACTCAAGGAGGGACAGGTGTGTCCTCCTTAGGAAACAAATGGGAAGGCTGGGCTAAAATCCCTAGGGTGACGAATGAGACCCATTCATGCAGGAGTCCGGGGGCCTCTGCTACAGGGGGAAGAAGGGAGCCTCTGCCCATTTTATGTCCCACGGGAAAATTGCTTTAGCTACCCTTTTTTTTTTTTTTTTCTGACCACAAAGACGAATCAATATGGGCACCCCATAAAAGCTGCAGATACAATGCGGGGCGCCTGTGTGGCTCAGCCAAGCGTCCGACTTCGGCTCGGGTTGTGATCGCACGGTTCGGGAGTTCAAGCCCCGCATCGGGCTCCGTGCTACCAGCTCGGGGCCTGGAAGCTGCTTTGGATTCTGTGTCTCCCTCGTTCTCTGCCCCTCCCCCGCTCGCACTCTGTCTCTCTCTGTCTCTCAAAAATAAGCGAACGTTTAAGAAATGATTCAGAGAAAGAAGAAAGTCAGTCATCTACTCCCCCAACCAGGACATAGCCACTGCCAAGATTTGGGTGTATTTTATTCCACGCCTACCTTTTTGCGTGTATGTGACCTGACCAAATGATGATAACCTCGGTAGAGTGTTGGATGCTTGAATCAAGCTCTCTGGGCTCCAGGCTCTGTGTGTTGCTGAGTGCTTCTTGTGCATTCCTGCACTTTCAGGCAGGGAAACCGGAGCCTGGAGGTTAACCACAGAGGTTAACACAGCTGCTGACGCCAGGACGGGAGCAAGACTCGGGTCACCTGACTTCCAGCCCCGATCGCTGTGTCTGGCTCAGCCACAATGCCAGCTTCCTTGGGGCGGGGGATTGGCCCCAGGGCCTTGTGGTTTTCTGTTTTGTTTTGTTTCATTTGCAGGGTTTCTGGTGTGAGGCCCCCCGCAGGACCTGGAGAAGCCTCTGTGTGGGGCTGGGCTGTACAGGGCCCTTGAGCCTGGCTGCTTTTCTGTAGTTCTTGTTCCAGGTGCTGACCTTCATGATCCACATTGTGAGCTCGGTGTTTTGTGGGCACCTGGGCAAGGTGGAGCTGGCGTCAGTGACCCTCTCGGTGGCCGTGAGTATAGCTCCCTGCTCCGTTCCGCCCCCAGAAGACAGCACGAGGGCTGACAGCTGCATTCAGAGCTGGGACCTGGGGGGCCTCGCCCAACGGCACACGGCACACGCAGGCCGGGCCTGGCCAGGAGGGGGCAGTGTCTCTGACTCAGCTGCAGGTCAGAGCTGCTGGTGGGTGGCCTCCCCCAGATGGAGGGTCCCCTCCCAGGGTCCCCTCCTTGGGCCCTGACAAGCCCTGTGTTTTCTCCTGTGTGTGGCTCCAGTTTGTCAATGTCTGTGGAGTTTCCATAGGAATAGGCTTGTCCTCAGCCTGTGACACCTTGATGTCCCAGGTAGGTGTGCCTTTTGGAGTCGGGCGATGGGGTGCCCATCAAACAGGCGGGGGGC